CTAGATCTAAACTTGTGAGGTCTCTGAAAGAGAAAGAAAGAGAGAGAGAGAAAGAAAAAAGGAAGGAAAGAAGGAAAGAAAAAGAAAGAAAGAAAGGGAGGGAGGGAAGGAGGGAAAGAGAAAGGGAGGGAGGAAGGAGGAAAGGGAGTAAAGGAGAGAAGAAGAGAAGGAAAGAGAGGGAAGGAAGAAAGAAGGAAGGGAAAGAGGGAATAAGGGAGGGAGGGAGGAAGGGAAAAAGAAAGAAGAAAAAGAAAAAGAAAAAAGAAAGATTGTGATTATATGGAGAATATATGAATGTTTGGTTTTCTCTTTAATCTCTACGTGAACTATCTGGACTTTGTAAAGTGCAAAACTTTTATCATAAAGTTCTGATGTAGGTTTTATTGGAACAAGCATGACAAGTACATTTTTTTGGAGGGCAATAATCTAAACTACACATAAATAGCTGATCATCAGATTAAGCTAAATCTTAAGAATGTTATTTCTGAATAACAAATTTCCCACTACATGCTAAACTTCAGAGCAGACTCAAGATAGTTGGTCATATTTAAAAGTTTCCCAAAAAATCCATTTCTGACCAAATATACTTAGTTACTGATCTGATTATTATAATAATCTTGATTTTATAGATTAGTCATCTACCCATTCTGTTGGCAACGTCTTACAGCTCATATACCCCCTTGAATACTTGATTTCAAAGCAGTAGATGGTAATTTATTCCAAAACTGAAATAGTGCCATTGTGGTAGGTAGGTGAATGGAATATGGAATATTTTCACAACTTTTGTATGACCATAGCACATGGATGTCTTTGGGAAGTAGACGTCTTCAAATCCTCCAGGTCACACCCCTAACTGGGAGGAATGGTTCTAAGAATTTAATTCATACCAGACGATTTTCACAATTTTCTAACAGATTTGGACAACTGTATGCATATGGTATGTCTGAGGAGGAGAGAGAGAGGGAGGAAGAGAGATAGAATTATGAAATATTGATGTCAATTAAAAGAAGAAATGGGATATGCAGAAATGTTTTAACATGAAATGTCCAGTCTGTGCCAAAATATAGTGTGAGACATGAGATTTTTGCTGTCATCAGGAATGCCATAGACAGAGCCAAATTGTACCTCTTCTGTTACCTCCCAACCTGAAGCTCTGTGAAGTTTCCGGAAAATTTGCATGTCCAGGTGCTAGCTGACAGGGAGACCATGATGAGAAAGGAAAAGGGCACACAAAGAGATGAGTGAGTTTATTCCAAGTCTCAGAGGGAGGCAGCAAGAGGAAAGACACTTTAAGGGTGTCCCATTGTCCATACCTTGGAGTGAGAGAAAGATCATTTAAAATAATTCATCCTATTCTGGGTGGGAGTCAAAGCTGATGACCTCAAGTTGGGGGAAGGAAGGGAAAAAATATGGCCACAGTCTAAGCCGCCATTTTTGATACTTCATAGATGAAACAAAAAGCATGAGGAAGGTTAGGTCTAACAACAGGCAGACGGCAGGCTTGGATGGTATAAAGCTAAAAAAAAAAAAAAGTACTAAAAAACATAAGCAGCTCTGTGGAGCAGCAGAATGCATTGACCAAAGGCAACTAGAAAGCCTGGGACTACAGTGGCAGAAAAGAGATGTGGGGTCAAATATAGCTATAGAGCTTCTGAGATTGACAGCTGTGGAAATGGCAGAGCTGTAACACTTGAAGAGCTAAGGGTTTTTACAACTGACAGCTGTGGAGGTGGGGCTTTGGAGAGGACCAGCTGCAGAGGCAGTTTCCCTCAAATGACCCTGGTGGACGCACAAATGCAGCAGGTGACAGCTGCCCTGAGAGGCGGGCCAGCCACAACATGAAGTAGCCCTCCCTCTAGTGTCCTCAGAGTGGAAGTTCATGCCAACTTGGGCAATACATTCCCGTTTCCACTGGCATGGAAGACTATGAGGAAATTGTCAACCTACCAAAGGACTGAACGTTGTAAGACTGAAATAAAATGGAGGTAAGAAAGGTCAAAAATTGCAAGGAAAATAATGAAATAAACAGTGAGAAGGAAATTGCCTAGCAGTACCAGATCTCAAACTATACTACAAAGCAGAAAGGATCAAACCAATTTGGTATTGGCTGAGAGAGAGAGACAGAGACAGAGACAGAGAGATCAGAGAAACAGATCAGATACCCCAACACACAGAACAAAATGAACCAAGCAGCCTAGTGTTCAATAAACCCAAAGACTCCTAAGGGCTCATTATTTAATAAAATATGCTAGGAAAATTGGACAGTGGTTTGGCAGAAATTAGATTTAGCCTCCCATTTTATTTCTCCTTTGTTTATGAGGGGGCTAAAATGATTTTATTATATAAGTTTACTCATTATTTTCACTTTACTATACTCAATTAACTGATTTGATTTTAGCCTTCTGGTGATTTGCTTGACCTTTGAGTATAGTCTTACTGGATGGGGACTCAAGCTATATATTCCTCCTCCTGCATTAAACCCAAGTAGCATGAGGACCCCAGGTTGGAGAGACACTCATGAGATTTAAAGAAATCTTAAGGGGAAGCACACTTGTGAGAAAATGCACATGAGAAGGTGGATAGAGAAACGTAGGTGAAGGAAAAGAATATATCAAAAGGGAGATCTCAAGTGAAGGAGAAGAGATGCCAAAGCTAACGCTTACATTTATGCCTTTCATCCCATTTACTCCATGAACACGGTCCATCGGGCATTTCCTTTCTCACTTTCATTCTCTCCCATTCTACTGACTTTCTCCTTTGCGTATAACCAGTTGTCTCTAGTCTCCTCAATGATAAAAAAAAATACAACCTTTCTTTTGGCACTGCTGATCACTCAATACATTTATATTACTTCTCCCCTTCACCACTACACTTCTAAAAATGATAGCATAAGTTTGCTGTTTCTCCTTCATCACCAATTCAATCTTCAGCCCCCTACAACCTGGTTTGTGTCTTACTCTGCATTTTGTAAGCAGAATTATCCCTTTGTAGGTGAGATGTTATAGGCATAACTCCTCCCCACCTACTTTTTCAAAGCCCTTTTTGCTCTTTCATCTTCCATCTCCATGGGGCAGCTAGGTGGTACAGTGGAAAGAGTGCCAGCCATGGAGTCAGGAGGACCTGAGTTCAAATATGACCTCAGACACTTACTAGCTGTGTGACCCTGGGCAAATCACTTATCCCTCTTTGCCTCAGTTACCTCATCTATAAATGAGGTTGAGAAGAAAATGGAAAACCACTCCAGTATCTTTGCTAAGAAAACCACAAATGGAGTCACAAAGAGCAGGACAGGACTGAACAACAACAATACCCCAGTTTCTCCAGTCACAAAAGAAAATGATCGGGGCAGGTAGGTGGTGCAGTGAATAGAGAACCAGCTCTGGAGTTAGGAGGACCTGAGTTCAAATCCGGCCTCACACACTTGACACTCACTAGCTGTGTGACACTGGGCTAGTCACTTAACCCCAATTGCCTCAAAAAAAAAAAGAAAGAAAAGAGAAAAAAAGAAACTGATCTATTGTGTTACTCTTCTCAGTAGTATTTGCATTTTAAAAGAGGACCACTGGTAAGGAGCAATGCTTAATCCAAGGAAAAGGATTTAGAATGGTGGAATTTCAGACATTTTGGCATCTGGGTAGGAGAGAGATTCTGGGGAGATAGCCTTCATGAAGCCACTCAAATCATGCTATGTATGTGACTACCCACTTTGCTTATGCGTAAGGCTGTTTTGTCTCTAGCAGCCTCTCCTGTAGGTTGTGTTTCCTAAGCATTTTGCATATAGTTTATTATGTACTTGATTACTCTCTGGACAAAAGAGAGAACCTGGTCTAAGAGACAGAGGGCTGGACGTGGAATCAGAAAGACCTGTCTCTTTGACATTAGGTATGTGACCAAGTACCTTAGGCAATTCCCTAGGGTTTAACTATGAATTCATAGCTCTGATTAGTGGAAGGGGTTCCCACAGTGAGAATTCTCTGCAGCTGGTGAAATCATGGGTCTTCTCTGAGCTACATAGTAAAGGAAATAGTCAGGATTTGGAGTCAGGTGACTGACATATGAAATCTGATGCTACTTTCTACCTGCATAACCTTAGCAAAGTCACTTAACCTCTTTCAGTCTATCCCTAAAATTGAAATGGTTGGTCCTAGAATCTAGCTCTGAAATTCTAGGATTCACTCATTCATTCAACCAGTGCTTATTCAGCATCACCTATGTATAAGACAATGTGTTGAGTGCTACTGTGGAAAATACAAAGATCTAGGGCAGCTAGGTGACAAAGTGGATAGAGCACCGGCCCTGAAGTCAGGAGGACCTGAGTTCAAATCCGGCCTCAGACCAAACACTTGACACTTGCTAGCTGTGTGACTCTGGGCAAGTCACTTAACCCCAATTGCCTAAAAACAAAACAAAACAAAACAAAAAAAAGAAAGAAAATACAAAGATCTGTAAAACATAATCCCTGATCTCAAGGAATTTACACTTGTAGTCTTAAGTAGATCATAAATTATTTGCATATAGAGATCATGTTTTCTTTGGTATCTCTCCCTGTGTAAACATTAAACACCCAAAAGCTGTTTATTGCATGTTAAAGCTTCTAATGAACCCAACAAATTTAATCTGAATCAGATTCTTAGAACTGTCTAGAAAATAGTGTAATAAAGTGATGTTAATTTAGAGAACCTTAAACACTTTCTAAATAAAAAGCCTTACAATTTCTCAACAAATTAAGTAAATGATAATTATTTTTTTTCCATTTACAAATGAAGAAAGGGAGGCTAAGGAAGTAACTTTTCTAAATACAGTATTTGTGTTGCTTAGCACAATGCCTACTCAGAAAATGTGATGACTTGTATTTGTAGTAGAATTTGAACTCCTGACTAGAAACTAACTGCAATATTTCAGGTCTACCGTGATGAAAAGTGTTCTTTCATTAGTGCTCATCATTAAATGAAGTTTTCCTTTTTCTTCTAAACTTGTTTTATAATTTCCTGATTTCCCAGGCAGCAAGACATCATGGAAGACTTTGACTACTTCTTTGATGGATTTGAGAATTACACTTATCCCTTTGAGTATTCTCAAGAAGAGCTGGAGTTGGGAGAGAAAGCTCACCTGGGAGCTGTGCAGTGGATTTCCCTTGCATTATATAGCCTAGCATTTGTCCTGGGGGTGCCAGGAAATGCCATTGTCATCTGGTTCACAGGGTTTAAGTGGGAAAAGACAGTCGCCACTCTCTGGTTCCTCAATCTGGCCATTGCGGATTTCATCTTTGTTCTCTTCCTACCTCTTTACATCTCCTATGTGGCCATGAATTTCCATTGGCCCTTTGGCACCTGGCTGTGTAAAGCCAACTCCTTCATTGCCTTGTTGAACATGTTTGCCAGTGTGTTTTTCCTCACGGTGATCAGCCTGGACCGTTATATTCATCTGATTTGCCCTGTCTTCTCTCAACGTTACCGAACACTAAAGAACGCCCTTTTTGTCATTGGCATGGTCTGGCTGGTGGCAGTTATAATTGGTAGTCCCACCCTGTACTTCCGAGAAACTCTTGACCTCAACAACCACACCATCTGCTACAACAATTTCCACCCGAATGATACCGGCATTATTTTAATGAGGCACCATGTTCTGACCTGGACAAAATTTGTTTTGGGTTACCTCCTGCCCCTGCTCACCATGATTATTTGTTACTCACTTCTTGCCCTCCAGGTGAAGAAGAGAGTGACCCTGACCTCCAGCAAGCACTTCTGGACAATATTGGCCGTGGTGCTGGCCTTTGTGATTTGTTGGACCCCCTTTCACCTCTTTAGCATTTGGGAGCTGTCAATTCACCATAGCAGCCACTTTCACCACGTGCTTCAGGCAGGACTCCCCCTCTCTACTGGTTTGGCCTTCTTCAACAGCTGTCTGAACCCTCTTCTTTATGTCTTGATTAGTAAGAAGTTTCAGGCTCGCTTCCGGACTTCAGTTGCTGAGCTCTTAAAGCATACGTTACGTGAGGTCAGCTGGTCCGGGACAACGAGTGAACAGTTTAAACACTCAGAGGCCAAGAACCTGTGCCTCCTAGAAATGACTCCATGAGGAGGGTCCCCAAAATTGAAGCTAAAACAAAAGAAACCCAAACTGACCATGACATGACATGCCAGTAAGAAGCAACTGGTTTTTGTTTTTGTTATTTTTTTTAATAAAATAAGCAAGCCAGGCAAATACTGGCTAGTTAACCACTTTATCAGTGAGCCATTCTTCTCTTATTTTTCCACTGTGCAGTATAGCTTTTGTGTGTGGATGTGCCTGTTTATGGGTATCTCCTAACTAGGATATCTTTGAATCAAATCTAATTACAAGATATCCAGTAAGCCATTTTTCTATGTTGACTGAGGCAGCCCTATTTAGGGTTGCCATAGATGTGGGAAGAAGCTTTTTTAATTTGATTCTTGCTCATTACACTACACTGACATAATCTCTGATTTTGAAGCATTTTATTATTTTCTTAGAATAACTTAAAAGATCCTGGAGTCTATAATTAAAGATAAGATAGATTTTTTTTTTACAAGAATACTAAGGTATATGCTGCTTCTAACGTTCGTTTTCATTTTTGCAGATAGCCTCACAGACATATTCACAATGTTACAAATAGGTTTATTCTTAATTATATGTAATTCGTGCATTCTGCCAGAGAATGTATGTTATATTCATTTAAAGTTTATTACTAGGAATTTAAATAGATTCTCAAAACTGGTGTTATGTGTATGTGTGTGAGTGGATGTTAAGAACATCATAAACCCACAAGGTTGACATCTAAGTAGACAATAGACTTGGACAAAAGATAATGGGAAAAATATAGAATTTGGAACCAAAAGAACTGGGATTGAATGTTGACTTTGATCTCTACCAACTCCATGACATTGGACAAGTTACTTCACCATTCTAGGCCTCAGTTCCTTATCTTTAAAATAAGGAAGTTGGAATAGAAGATGAACTATAAGGTTCCTTCTAACTCTGCATCCTATGATCCTATAATAAGTTCATAAAATGAAGGCTTTGATGACGCATTAGCTTCATTCCACTATTTCTCCATATTGTAACTTTTTAAAAAGTCCAAGCAATAATGCACAAGAGTCATCTTAAAGAAAAACAATTCAATTCAACAAAGTAAAGTGCCTACTGTAGGCAAGGCATCATGCTAGGTACTGGGGACACAAAGAAAAAAAGAAATGAATAATCCTGCCTTCAAGGAGCTTACATTCTACTGGAATGTTCACAAGTACATACAAATGTAACCCAAGCCTCAAAGCACATTTATATGAGGCTCTCCTATTTGGTGGAAATTGATTATTTAATGATCTCTACCTGTCAAGAAGTAGAGTTGGTATCTAGGGGGCAGCTAGGTGGCGCAGTGGATAGAGCACCAGCCCTGGATTCAGGAGGACCTGAGTTCAAATCTGGCCTGAGACACATAACACTTACTAGCTATGTGACCCTGGGCAAGTCACTTAACCCCCATTGCCCAACCCAAAAAAAAAAGTGAGATTCTGGTCTTCTGGCTTCCAGCTTCAAGAGAGAAGTCATGCCATTCCTGAATCTCTTCAGTTTGCTAAAGAGAGAAAGACCTGGGAAGACCTTCTTCTGAGAAGCTGACATATAGAGGAGCCAGCATTTCAATCATGTCCCTATTCCTGGTTTATAACACTAGAGACTTTAGGAAATTTCCCCTTGGATGAGATCTGAGACTCTCTTGGTTGAGGTGAATTATCTCACTCCCAAAGAGAGAGCCCATTATTTCTGTGTATTTTCTGGTATATAATCTCATATGTATACTTTCTCAGACTTCTGATTACTATCTTTTGAATAAATGGGTTTATCTGCTATTTGCTATGTGTTCATTGTTTAACTGGCGTCTGATAGGAAGAGGAATGGAGCCTTGGATATACAGTTTACAGTACTCCTTTCCCATTAAGAGACAGAGATCAGGAGTTCAGTTTGAACCTAAACATTGTTTTCTCTAGATTGACAATATTTAGAAGAGCAGATAGATATAATTATAGCCTAGTACTCTCTCTTTCTCTAAGAAGAACAGAGGAGCCAGCCTTTGGACCCAACCTCCTGCTTCCCCTCCTGGCAGGAAACAAAGCCTCCCTTGGGGAAGGATTGGGGGTTGGTGGGAGGAGGAGACTATAGAATGATCTTTTTTGGACTCCCTGTAAGCCACATCTAGAACGCAAGGGCATGCATAACCTACGTGGACAAAACACGGTGGTGTGCCCACTCCACCCTTTACACAAAGTACGTATTAAGTAGTACAAATTAATTTCAGAAGAGAAATGTATAAATAACTGGAGGGTGAGGGAAGGAGAGATGGCCTGGTGAATGATAGGAAAGGCCTGTGTAAGGCCTGGTACTTGAACTGTGCTCTGAAGGAAGCTAGGGATTTTGTCCTTCAGTTAGTCAACAAGTTTTGATTAAGGTCGTACTGTATACCAGGCACTAAATTATAAAGATACAAAGAGAGGCAAATACACTGTCCTTGTCCTCAAGTAGCTTACGTTATAATGTGGGGAAACATGTAAATACTTTCATATAAGATAAATACTAAGTAAATGAAAGGAAAGCTCAGAGGGAAAGCAGTAGCAGTGTTGGGGAAGAAGGGAAGGGAGGAGTGACTAGGAAAGGAAGGGGGTTAGTCCAAGCATGGGGAACATCCAGGAGTACCAAGGCACAAAGATAGAAGAACAGCAAGTATGGCAATGTATCTGATCACAGGGTATGTGGAGGGGAGTCATGTAAGAAAGCTGGAAAGGTAAGAGGGAGCCAGTTTGTGAAGGGTTTTAAAGGTAAAATAGAGGAGATTATGCTTGATCCTAGAGATGACGGGGAGACACTGGAGTAGAATGAGTAATGGAAGGGGGGTGACATGATTAGGCTTATGCTTTAGAAACATCACTTTTGCAGCTGAGGGGAGGCTGGATTGAAGTGGAGAAAGATTCAAGGCAGAAAGACCAGTTAGAAGCTATTGTTACCGTGCAGGCTTGAATTGAACTAAAATTTCATTTCAGAAGTTGTGTCCAGACACAGACCATCAGGGCATCTGTGAAAGTCATGTATTGAAAAAGAAACAGATAACAGAAATTCATGGTTCATGTACTATCCTAGTTATCTGTTCTCCTTGATATCTGAAAAAACTTGTGTGTGTGTGTGTGTGTGTGTGTGTGTGTGTGTGTGTTTGTTAAGTTCAGAAAGAGAAAAAAAAAGGTTGTTACAGGGAGCAGCCTGGCATAATAGAAAGAACTTGGAGGTAGAAGATCTGAATTCTAATTCTGTTTCTGCCATGAATCTAGCTGTGTGCTCTTGCTAGTTACGTCATTTCTCTGAGCCTCAGTTTCCTCTTCCACAAAAATGAAGACTTTGGCCAAGGTGACTTTTAAGTTCCTTCCAGCTGTGACATTCTGTAATTCTAAATAATATTTGAAAAGTAAAGAAAAATCACTTTAAGAAAAAAATTCTTTGGAGCATTTCCTAGAAGGATTCATGCAGGAGAATGAAATCAGTTATGTGTTAATATCTTAATGTTTACAAAGCATTTTCCTTGCGACAACCTGTGAAACAGAAAGTACAAGTATTCATATCCCCATTTTATGGATGAGCAAAACAAGGCTCACAGAGGCTATGTGATTGCCCAGGATCATATGGCTAGTAAGTATTGCAGCCAGGATTTGAATCTAATTTTCCTGACTCCATGTTCATAATTCTTTCCATTTATAGCACCCTGCTTAGAAAAAAAAGAGATGAAATGAAAAAAATAAATTTTTTATGTCAATCCTTCATATTATGAAGTTGTTTTTCCTATTTTTCCCCTCAACAATTCCAATTCCAAGCTGTTTTAAAATGAAAGTAAATGACAGGCCCCTCTTTTCTGATTGCCATTGTTAATTTGAATCTTTGATTCCTCCAGCAGAGCTAAGAAATCAGAATTGATGACGCTAGTTCTGTTTCTGAGCCATTTTACCCAAAAGGCTGTTATAAATAATCCAAATGCCAACACACATTAAACCGTTTACTTAACGATTCCAAAACCCCAAGCGAGGAGCACTTGCAGTATATTAGAGCACATTAACTTTCAAGTTAATAGCCACCAAGTCTTCGATTCTTGAAATTCCTGGGTTTAAATCTCATTTTCATTTTTAAAAATATGCTAGTAGCTCTAGGGGCAAGCTAAAAAAAAAAGAGAGAGAAAGGAAGGAAGGAAGAAAAATGTTCTCCATTAGGCAAATTAAACGAAAGCATGAAATGCAAGTCTCTCATAGGAACCCCTAGATCCGTAATTAGAATCAAATCTTGTGTGACCTTGGGCAACTCACTTAACTTTGCTAGGCCTCAGTTTTCTCATTTGTAAGATGAAGGGGGTTAGACAAAATAGCTTCAGACATTCCCTCCAGTCCTGGTTCCAAAAGCCAATGAAAATGAGCAAGTATAGATTGATGGATCTGGAAAGGAGCCTTAGAGATCCTCTACTGCTAAGTCCTTGTTTCATAGATGATTAAATTGAAACCCTTTATTAGTCTGCTGTCTAATTCATCCATTTATAGCCAGGTAGACTCCATTGGAATCGTCTTTAATAAGAAAGACCGGTTTTGTTTATAAAGATGAGAAGCTGGTTTCGCAATCTTTTCTAGTAGCAAAGGCATTAATAGTAGAAGTTCACATTTCTTCACTGATTTGCGTTTATAAAGTCGATTCTTCACGCCAACCCAATGAAGTAGATCTCACAGGTATTATTATATCCATTTTACAAATGAGGACAGTGAGGCTCAGAGAGGTTAAATAATAATACAGCTTCTCACAAAAACCCCACAAAGTGAGTATCAGGGAAATTATTACTAAAAGAAGCAAAGAAAGAAGTACTAGATGGTACCAGATGACTCTCAGATGTGATTTCTGGGCCATTATCAGTACTATTTCAAAGATCACATAAAACAGAAGAGGTGACATAAGATTGGAGAAGGCCAAGTTGTCCTGATTTTCATAAAAGAAAAGAGAATGGAGTCTTTCAACTACAGGTCAGTGAGCTTGACTTCACTTCCTGAGAAACTGGGTCACTGAAGGGATGGTAAATGAACGTCTGGAAAAGGGAAGCAATGACTATAAAGAAAGCGGCAAGTGTGACCATTAGAAATAGGTGGTGCTGGGGCAGCTAGGTGGCGCAGTGGGTAGAGCACCGGCCTTGGAGTCAGGAGGACCTGAGTTCAAATCCGGTCTCAGACACACAACACATGACACTTACTAGCTGTGTGACCCTGGGCAAGTCACTTAACCCCAGTTGCCTAACAAAAAGCAAAAAAAAAAAAAAAAAGCATTACAAATAGGTACTGCTTAGCAGCTCTTTTTGTGGTGGCAAAGAATTGGAAATTGAGGGGATGCCCATCAGTTGGGGAATGGCTGAACAAGTTGTGGTATATGAATGTAATGGAATACTATTGTGAGATAAGATATGATGAGCAGGCTGACTTCAGAGAAACCTGGAAAGACTTATATGGACTGATGCTGAGTGAAGTGAGCAGAACCAGGAGAACATTGTACACAACAGCCACATTGTGCAATGACTAACTTTGATAGACTTAGCCCTTCTCGGCAATGCAAGGATCTAAGACATCTCCACAGGTCTCGTGATGAAAAATGCTATCCACATCCAAAGAAAGAACTATGGAGTTTAAATGTAGATCAAAGTATACTATTTGCTATTTTTTTTCTTCTGTTTTGTTTTTCTTGTAGTTCCTTCTATTGGTTCTAATTCTTCCTTACAACATCACTAATGTGAAAATATGTTTAAAAGGAAGGTATATGTATGGCCTATATCAGATTGCACACCATCTTGGGGAGAAAAATTTAAAATTAAAATTTAAAATTTAAAACTCAAAAGCTTATGTAAGTGATTGTTGATAAATCAAAATAAATTAATAAAAAAATTAGGTAGTGCTACACTAAGCTTATTTCCTTTTTTGACAGGAATGTTAGGCTAGTAGGTAAAGGGAATGCTATGGATATAATTTACCTAGACTTCAGCAAAATTTTTGATGTTATCTCATACAATTCTTACCAAAAAGATGGAGTGATGTGGATGGGATGATATAACAATCAGATTCAGAAATGGTTATATGCCAAGAATCAAAGAGTAGTTGTTAATGTCAATCTGGCAGGAGATCTCCAATGATATGCCTTAGGAATCAGTGCTTGATCCTCTGCTATTTTTAAATTTTTTATTTTGTTTAAATTAAATTAAAATTTTAAATTATTAATTTATAATAATATAAATTAATTGATTAAATTAAGTTTAATTAAATTTGAATTTAAAAATTAAAATTTTTAATGTATCTTTATTCTAAACTTAACAAACACCAAATAAAATAGGTAACTCCATATCCAGAATAAAATGGAAAAAAAGGAATGTAAAT